CCCCAAAACCCCAAAACCCCCTTTTGTTTATGATAATTTTTTAATTGATGAACGATTAAAATATACAAAATCAGCAGCTTATATAAATAGACTTAGATAGGCTAATAAGTTAACATAATACGGTATTTAACTAATTACCGTAGAGCTCTATAGAGAATTTTTAATACTAAAAGCCTGCTAATCTGCAGCTTGAAGCCTTCGACATAAATCCACCCCTTTTAAATGATATATCAAAGCCAATTATTCCAGAATCTTTGTTAAAGAAGATTCAGAACTGAGTAGATGCTCATGGAAATTTGCTAATAAACCCTGAAGAGATGCTCTTAAAGAAAAGATAGTGCATGAGAAAGAAGATCAACCAAATGAATGGCATTGAACCTTGCACAGAGGAAAATTGTTAAGAATGTGGGAATTAAAGCATTAAAGATTAAGCAATAGAATAGTTGCCTCCAATAACTAAAAATTAGTCAAAATAAACATTATTGAAAAAAAATGAATTCGAAGGTTTGTTTAAGCATCCTTAACTTGATAGTCCAGAATAAGAACGCATAAATAAGATAATAGAGTAAACAGCCAGAACATCAGAATATTATCTTAAAGAAGAAAGTAAAAAGAAAGAATGCTTAATCAGGATTAAAAGATTTAGGAATAAAATCTAAACTTTATCATCAAATACAATTCAATGGCAAAAAACTAGAGAATTAGTTTCAGGGCTTTTATAAAGGTATGAGAAGGATAGATATATTGATAGGACATGGATTTACATTGATATGGATATGTTTTTTGCAGCGGTTGAAATACGAGATGATCCCTCTCTAAATGATAAGCCAGTGGCTGTTTTTGACAATAAAATGATTATGACTGCTAATTATGTTGCTAGAAAAAGTGGAGTTCATAGTGGTATGCCAAAATTTATAGGTGAAAAACTTTGCAAGGACATCGAATTTAGAAAGGCTAACTACAGCAAATATAGACAAATTTCAGATGAGTTCAAAGGGATTTTGTCTTAATACGATCAAAAGCTTGAATCTCAGGGACTTGATGAAGTGTCAGTAGATGTCACTGAATTTTTGTAAAAAAATAATATGGATCACATGGATGGAAGAATATTTCTAGGAGAAAAAATAAGAAAAGAAATATATGATTCCACTCAATTAACTGCCAGTTGTGGAATAGCATGCAACAAATTATTGGCAAAAATCTGTTCAGGCATTAAAAAGCCTAATGGAATGACATACTTAGACTTTGATTAAGAAGTAATTTCAAATTTTATGAGAAATCTCCCGATTGACAAACTAATGGGAATCGGAAAAGTGCATTAACGAGTTCTAACTGGCCTTGGTATCCTCACTTGTAAAGACATGGTAGATAAAGCGACTGAAATCTATGTAAACTACAATGAAAGCTAATTTTAGTTTTTTTTGAAGTAAGAATTATATACTAATTATATTGATTTATAGGTCGGCCCTTGGAGTGGATAGAAATTATCATGAAGATACTATTCAAAAGAGCATTGGAGTTTCTTAAACATTCAAGCCTATTGTAGATAAAAAGGATCATGAAGATAAAGTTAAGGCTATGGCAATAGAGCTTTATGAAAGACTTCTTGAATCCTAACTTGTAGCAAAAACTCTAACTCTAGAATTGAAAACAAGCAAATTTAATATCAAGCAGAGATCAACAACATTTCACTAATATATTCAAGAAAAAAATGATATCGTTAGAGCTTCAGAAGAGCTTTTAAATGTAATGTGGCCTATAAATGAGCCAGTTCGACTTATAGGTATAAGGTTAATGCATTTAAGAGCAAGAGATATGCCTGTATGAGGAAAGAGAAGGCAAGATTTAAGTAGCTACACAACTTAAAATTTAAGAGGATCTACTAATTCTGATGAAGCTCCTTAAGATTGTGGCGACAGTAGAGTAAGCCTAGGATAAGATGAGGATGTAGACTAGATTAAACCAGAGGAGATCGGTCTTTATTTTGACAGAGCTAGGATGAATTCTAGTAATCGTAGAGCAATTGATCATTTTAAGGCTAAAAAAGCGAAAGAATTAGGTATACCGCCCACAAATGATGAAACATAAATCAATCCTAAATCTAAAGATTTATAGAGTACTAATACAATTAATCTATCACTTGATAACTCAAATAAATCTATCAGAGCGAAAAGAAATGGGTGTGATATTACTAATTTCTTAAGGAAAAAGCATAGTAGCAACCCTTAATCTGCTAATAAATAAAATAATAATGTTGAATATGAATTAGATGATTTGTTGAGCGATTTTAATCCAGACTAAAAGTAATACAATTATGATGAAGAATATGTTGAGCAAAAGTAGGAATATAAAAATTTGAGATTGACGGAGCGAGAAGATATTTTTGACTATAAAAAAAGACACTTTTAAGAAAATAATTAAAATTATTGTAGTAATCAGGCTGCAAATGAACAAGGAATTGAAAATGATACAGACATGTATTAAGAAAATGAAAGATTTGAGAATTATGATTATAATTACGATAAGGATGAATATGATTAGTATAAAGATGATGACGAATATGATTTATTTGAAAAAGGTGACGATGAATTTAAAAGTACAGAGGAGCAGATTTTTGATAAATATAGCCAAGGGTATAAAAGATAAAAATTATAATGAAATTGAGAAAAAATAACTTTAAATTTCAATTTTGTTAAATTAAGATCAATTACACTTTATATAAAAGCTTGGGGTTTTGGGGTTTTGGGGTTTTGGGGTTTTGGGGTTTTGGGGTTTTGG